TCATTTCGGGAAGCCGTGGGTCTTCTTAGGGTTATTTGGGGTTTAGGGTTTAGGGTTTAAGTTTAGGGTTTAGGGTTTAGGGTTATAGGGTTCTCGGGTTATAGTGTTTAGGGTTTAGGGTTTATAGGGTTTAGGGTTTAGGGGTTAGGCCTTATAAGGGCCTAGAGTCTATGGGGCATAGGGCAGGGGCGTCGGTTGTCGAGGGCTACAGAGTTCGTTTAGAATGTTTCAGATCCAAGAATCTTAAGGGCTTTAGCCCTTAATGCCCTAACCCCCCAGAGCCCTTTGGAGCGTTGAGGGGTTTCTTTGTATCGCTCTGCCCCCCACGGAGGCGCCGAATGTACGGTTCCGACGCTGTTTCTCGGGCGTTATGCTTGCTCAATCACTCACCAAGACTGAAAGAGTCCAACAAGTTCAAGGGATTAGGGTTTAGCGGCTTTTCCGCATTACAGGGACGCCCGTTCTGGTGTACCGTCATTCTGTGAACGCGTACTTAGTGTCATTGGTACCCCAACACAAACTCCGCATAATGTAGATTCTCTTTGTGGGTATGCAAAATACAAGAATTTCTTGTGTACTCTAGTGACAAGGACCCGCGCTGTTTGTCATCGGTGCCATATATACGGCCTAGGAATCCTAGACCCGAATTGAACCGCACTGCAGTTCAGGCTAAAGGATTACAGTTTCAAGGGTTTTGTCGAGCTCAGAGTGGGTTTTGGGTTTAGGGTAAAATTGCATTTGTGGTTTGGGGTTGACCCAAATATGTATATGTGTATATATGTATATATATATATATACATATATGATGTATAATGGTATATACATATATGTGTATATATATATGTATATGTATATATATATATATGTGTATATGAATATATATATATATGCTGCTTTATGGCTTGGACTCTTTGGGTTGACAGGGGGCCTCAGGGCCTTCCGAGCGCGAATGCGATCCCAGATGCGGATGGAAGCCGCGTTCCGAGCAGTAGCTGAGGGGTGCTTGAGGGAGGGGCCGTGGGATGTTTTAAGGGTTTAGGGTTTAGGGTTCAGGGTTTGAAGGGGTTTAGGGTTTAGGGCTGAGGGTTTCAGAGGTTTAGCGTTCTTGAGAGTTGTATATCTTTTTTCTTTTCAACAATTCCCACCTTTGTTTAATTGACCCCCCAGATTGCAAGCTCATGGTGGAGAGACGAGTCCATGCAAAACCATCTTTTTGGTGTGAGATAGGCGGGTCGAGCCCCACAGAACCCAGCAGAAGCCCTGTAGACCTCGACACGCTGATGATGGATGGCCCCTAAACCCTAAACCCTAAACCATAAACCCTACGTAAGCCCTAAAGGGGGTTCCCCAAAATTGTCAGCTAGCGGTCAGGGAGGTAGGCAATCATCACGCACCCTACATATATTGGGATGTGGGGGTGCCTCAAGTCCATGTTCCTGTCTTGCACGGAATAGGATTTGGGATATTTAGATAGGGTTTAGCATTTACTTGGGCCTAAAGCTACTCTTTATAGCAACCGATATATATATATGTATATATGTATATACATATATATATATATATGTACAAGAACCTAACAGGTACCCAGATCCTGACATGTCCTACTCGAAGAACTAGTTCGAAAACCTGTGGGTTTAGGGTTTGGAGGGTTTAGCGTATGGAACCACGGACACGCAACTGAGGCTCCATGTACCCATATAGTAGATACTTTGGCCTTAGAGGGGTTCCTATAAGGTCACAGGCGCACAAAAAACCTGGAGACTTGAAGCATGCGACGTGCTTTTCGCTCGGGTTTTGGGCACGTTGTGCTCGCAACTCCATGGCTAAGCCGACAACCAGAGAATTAGGAAAGCATGGGCTAGTGTTGAAACACCCACTAAAACCGACGTTTTCTGCACATGCAATAACATTTCGCCTAAAAATCTGAAGATGAGAACAAAAGTACACATCGCTCCTTTCGAATCGGGCGTTCTAGTGAACGGCCACAATGGCGGCAAACAAGCACATAAAACCATGGAGTTTACGATGTTTTACGACATGCACACAAGGGTCAGCTTTGTGCGTTGTTACTGATGCTTTTCTGTTATGTTGCTTCTGCTGGCAGTTGTTAATGGTTCGAGCGTCGTTCGCATAAGCCTTGTGACAGCGCGTCTTGTTACAGAAAGGCAAACATCCTGGTGCAGCATGTTGTGTCGAGGAGCAGAAACGCTGTACATTCCGGTGTTTTCGGCATGGATAGAGGAACATGGTCGCAACCAACCCCCCCGGACGTCCCACAGCAAGAAACACTGTCAAAACCAAATCGAACTTTTGTCTTGTGACACTACAAAAATCTGAGCTATACATGTCACTCCTTTCATTTCGGGCGTTCTAGTGAAAGGCAGCAATGGCGGCAAACCAGCACAGAAAACCATGGCTTTTACGATGTTTTACGACATGCACACCAGCGTCAGTTTTGTGCGTTTTTGTTTTTTGTTCTTTTATGTTGCTTCTGCTGGCAGTTGTTAGTGGTTCGAGCGTCATGACGACACACCTTTCGCATAAGCCTTGTGACAGTGCATCTTGTTACATAAACGTCAAACATCCTGGTGCAGCATGTTGTGTAGAGGAGCAACAACGCTGCAAGTACCGGTGTTTTGGGCATGAATAGAGTAACATGGTCGTAGCCAACACCCCCGCACCCCCCCACCCCCCCAAAAAGAAAAAAAAAAACAATAAAAAGAAAACTCTCCAAAAGTCCACGAAACAACCATGTTTTTTACGCGCCTGTTTCCTCCTATAAGGGTACCTTAAGCCCAAAGTATCTACTATAAGGGTACATGCAGCCTTAGCGACGTAGAAGGTAGGTCCACTTAGGGTTTAGGGTTTAGTGTTTAGGGTCCACTCCCCCACCCCAGACGCATTTTCCAACCTCGCGTGCTGCACGCCTGGCGCCTACGCTCGAGTAGAGTCCTGCTTCGAACAGACCCGAAGAGCTGGACCGGGTTTAGGGTTTAGGGCTTAAGGGTTTAGGGTTTAGGGCTTTAGGGTTTAGGGTTTAGGGTTTAGGGTTAGGGTCCTTGGATCCTGTGGGTATAGGGACCCTGGTTTGGGGGTAGCTGTGAAGTGTTTCGTGCGAACTGCCTCAGACCAGATCCTCAGGTCAGCCAAGAAGGCCTTTAGGGTTTATAGAAATTGTATAGGGTTTGGCTTCCAGTAACGTTTTGAGCGACAGTCTCGAGCGAAAGTTTCTGTTTTAGAGCCTAGTTTGTATTTTTGGGGGCCTCCCGGCCCTGGCTGGCCTCCTGGGACTCTTTGGGTGGGAAGGCCCAGAGGTTTAAGTAAAACTGAGCATTTTGGCTTCCCAGGTGCTGTAGCTGAAATTACCTAAGCTCTGCTTGTCAGCTGTTTAGAAAGAGCTACTCGTAATCTTTACCATATACAACGGCTTCTTCACACTACAGCATCATTATGATGGAAATTGTATGTTGATGCCTCCATCTCACGATGCCTTAGAAAAGGCAGGTTTGCTCAAGCTAGGGTCTGTTAATTCGCCCCGGAGATGCCACAAGTGAGCGCCAAGGGGAGGCCTTGAATGGCACATGGTCTCGAACCCTAAACCCTAAACCCTAAACCCTAAACCCTAAACCCCGTTCGCCATGTCTTCTTGGGACATAGGGCCCTCATAAGCCCGGTGAGTCAAAGCAAATGGGCTTCCTTATCAGTACCCATTGTCATGGGGACTTAGCTATATTAGAAGAGGGGATCGACCTGTTGCAAAGGTGAACCCTGAACCCTAAACCCTGACGCCTCTGGGATCCCAGCACACAAGACTGCGAAGGACTTTGCGCAGCTCATCATATGGTTACTTCCCAAAGTAGGAGTAGGCCTGTTCTACCCAAAGTGACTAGAATCCCCTTAACAAGGAACCCCCCCAAAAGGGTCCCCCCCCCCCCCCCCCTTTTGCGGAAACCCCCCGTATAGTCCCCTAAGGGTCCATGTACCTAAATAGGGAATACTTGGGCCTTGAAGTACTTCCTATATAGGGACTTTCGGGCCCAAGTATATAATAATGAGGTACATGGATCCAGAGGGGTCGGCTGAGTATAGACCGAAGTGCCTTGAGATCGCGAGGCGCACAAGCAGGAAGACGTGGGTTGAGGGGCTCAGGAATTCGGGTATACTAAACCTGATATCTAAGCCCTAAACCCTAAACCCTAAACCCTAAACCTTAAACCCTAAACCCCAAACCCTAAACCCTAAACCCTACAAACACTGAACACTAGGAGGCTCCCCTCTGGCAGCTCGGCCGCTGAGCGCACTCTGACCTCCAATGGCACAACGGGGGGTTGGTTCCTGTATAGATAATATAGGGTTTAGGGTATAGGGTTTAGGGTTTAGGGAGTAATTACGAAGAATATAATATTCCCCTAGGCTCCCTTTGTAATATACTGATACTGTACTCAGCCCCCAAAACCCTATTCTAATCACTCAGGCCCCTATATTATACACCTGTGTAGGGGGACTCTTCCAAAGAAGCCTCCCCACTTCTAGCTCGAGGTGAGAATCGGAACCTCCCTCAAACAGGTGCCTTGATTTAGAAGCCCGCGCACGAGTTTGGGAGTTAAAGGCGGATGTGCGTGTGATGGCTTTGAATTTGCGGTTTCGTTGTCCGAACCCCTAAACCCGAAATCCCGGACCTCCGCTGGTTTAGCCGTAAGCCCTGTCATCCCACAGGGAGCGGAGGCGGGTTGCAAGCCCAAACCCTAAACCCTACACCCTAAGCCCTAAAACCTCTTAAGCCCTAAACCCTAAACCCTAATCTAGAAACACGAAACCCCTCCCACTACATCTAAAACTAAACCTCTTTGCACGAGCCTGAACCTGTGAAAACCTGCCTAAAGCCCGAAGCACCCAAAACCCAATTGTGGACCGCAGAAGCGATGTCAAGCGTTGCAAGTCATTCAACCTTGAACCTAAACCCTAAACCGTAAACCCTGCAAACCCTAAGCCCAGCGTAGGCTCTGCCATCATACGGCCGTGGCAGAAGTTGCCAGGCGCCAGTTGCTACGGCTTGGGGCTGTTTGTTAGGGTTGAGGAGTACGGCTTTTAAACCCCCCAAGCCCCAACACAGCTCGGACTTTCTGTGCCAAATCACCCTAAACCCTAAACCCTCCTTACAGTGTTCACAACGGGCCTGCTCACAATGGTTGAACTTATATCTGCCCTAAATCCAAAACCCTAAACCGTCGTGTCGCTCAGCCGGAACGTGAGCCGCTGGATTCGAACCCAACGCCCTGAGCTACACCAGGGAAGGCTTAGTAAACCCCAACTATAAATTACCCTTAAACCTATACCTTAAAACCCTACAACCCTAAACCGCAAGACCTTCTCCCTTCAAACCCTAGAACCGTAAACCTTAAACTTCAAACCCAAGTATGATACCCTGCGCCGCACCCTGCCTGTCAGATCACTGCACGAATTCATGCCCTCTCCCGAAGTCCCGAACTGTTTGCGTTTGACACCTTTGCGAAGGCTTGCAGTTCAAGAACGAATGTATAAGGGCAGGGGGGGTTCTTGGGACCCAAGCAACCCTAAACCCTAAACCCTAATTTTTTGCGGTCTGGCATGGGAAGGATTCCTGTGGGGTTCACGCCCGCTTGCGCCAGGTTATCGCGTGGACTTTGCCTGCAGGAGCCCCAGTGGGAAGCCTTGTAGACCTTGGCCCAGATACGCCCACGAAACCTAACCCCCAACTCTGTAAACCCCTAAACCCTGAACCCCTCACCCTAAACCCTTTGAACTTTTCAACCCCTCAACCTTAAATCCTAACTCCTAGACCGAAACCTCTAAGTGGACCAAGGTGCTACCCTTAAGCCCTTAAACTCCTAAACCCTAAACCCTAAACCCTAAACCCTAAACCCTAAACCCTAAACCCTAAACCCTAAACCCCCAAACCAACCTCAAATTCGGAGCCCGAGGCCCCACGGAAGGCATCTCGCCAGAGTGCTGGCGGATGGTGTCCAACTTCTTCAAGCTGCCTGAGGAGCCCTCGTGTTCTTAGGGCTTGGAGTTTAAGAACCCTAAGCCCTAAACCCTAAACCCTAAACCCTAAACCCTAAGCCCTAAGCCCTAAGCCCTAAGCCCTAAGCCCTAAGCCCCAAGCCCTAAGCCCTAAACCCTAAACCCTAAACCCTAAACCCTGCCTGAGGAGTCCTCGTGTTCTTAGGACTTGGGGCTCAGTAACCCTAAACCCATCTAAACCCGAGACCCTAAGCCCTTAAACCCTGCCTGAGGAGTCCTCGTGTTCTTAGGGCTTGGGGTTTAGGAGTTTAGGGTTCAGGGTTCGGGGGTTTGTAGGGTTTAGGGCTTAGGAGTTTGGGGTTTAGGCTCTATAGGGCTTTGTATGGAGCTTCTAGATGGTTTAGGAGTAGGCTTTAGAGCTTAAGGGCTGTAGTGTTTATAGGAGTTGGTGCTTTAGGCTTCGGAGAGTCTAGGAGCTTGGGGTTTAGGGTATGAGGAACTTTGAGTTTGGAGGTATTGAATTCAGGCTGTTTAGCATCTAGGCCTGAACAAGATTTGTCACAGAGATGCTTGGGCACTAGTTAGCGACGAAGGTGACACCGCCTCAACGGAGCATGGACCACATGAAGCATTGCTCGCGCCTTCGTCCCTGATGAGGGGTTAGGGTTTAGGGTTGAGGGCTTAGGGTTTAGGGTTTAGGGAATCTATGTAATTCGCAGGCGTCTAAATCTGAGTCCGTGGGCAGCTTCGCGTTCTAGACTCACGTGACCCGCTTGCCCCAGTGCCCTCCCTCTCACATTCTGATCTCACATCCTGAGCCGCCCCAAACCCTCAACCCGCTGGCAGGCCGTTCCCCCCAGGGGCTTCTACAACGGGGCGCGGCAACACACTGATTAGCGCGGGAATTCGGAGCTTCGGGGGACGGACCTGGAACGAGTTGTCTTGAAGGCGGTTTAGGGTTTTGGGGTTTAGGGTTGAGGTGGCCTTGTGTGGGAATGTGAAGGGCTCCCAAAATGCTCCCAACCTACAAGAAGCCCTCCGGTCCTTTGCTTTGTTTGGGATGTGCGGATTCAAAGCTTAGCGGCTTCGGGAACTGTAGACTCGTTGGCCTCCCTAAACCCAAAGCCGAGACTTCCAAAAGAAGAGCAGGTACTTCGTCTTCGGTGGGGTGCCAAAGCTGCGCTGCGCTTGGCTGTGCGTGGGCTGGTTGGAGTGTTTAGGGTTTAGGATTTAAGGTTTGGGGTTTGGGGTTTAGGGCCCCTTGACCCGAAACCAAGGGATCTTTCGGCCTTGTGGAGACTGGTGGGTGTGAGGTTGGTGGTTTTAGTAGAGCTTCTGTTTTTTGTTTTTTTTTGTTTTGTGTGTTTTTGGTGGGGCTTGTTGACATGTTTCACTCACTGTTTATGGTCCCCTAAACCATCTTCATTCCCCAGCTTTTGAGAAGACTGGTGGTGGCAAGTCCCTCACAGCACCTTACGGGAGCTTGGGACTCTCGTCATAGGTGCATTCGTGGCCTGTGAGTTTGGGGCCTCAAGCTTTGGGATGTAGGGCCGATGTTTTCCACCCATCGGTTCCGAGCTGATCTGTGCTCTTGAGCCAGAACCTCTCCATTAAACCGGAAGTTCCTGAACTTAACCTTCACTAGTGCACTTGAGTGCTGTAGGGTTCAGGGTTCAGGGTTTAGGGTTCAGGGTTTAGGGTTTAGGGTTTAGGGTTTTTGGTAGAGTCTCTCAGAGTCCTGTGCATGGCAAGGTGCTCTTCATCGTGGCCGACAAGGCCTCCCTCATTGGCGCAGAGGCCTTTGCTCTGCTTTTCCCCAAACCCCCAAACCCCAAATCTCAAACCCCAAGTCTCAAGCCCCAAGCCCCAAACCCCCAAACCCCGATAAAGTTTAGGGTTTAGGGTTTAGGGTTCAGGGTTTAGGGTTTAGGGTTAGGCTTTAGGCTTTAGGGTTTAGGGTTTAGGGGTTAGGGGTTAGGGGTTAGGGTTTAGGGTTTAGGGGTAGCGGTTAGGACTCTCTCAAGCCTGGCAGGAGGCGAGAGGGCGAGCGCCGCCCATTCCAGCCAAGGCGCGAGTTAGTCAGGGTGCAAAAGTGGGTTTTGGGTTTAGCGTTCAGGGTTCAGGGTTCAAGGTTCAGGCTTTAGGGTTTAGGGTTCAGGTTCAGGATTTAGGGTTTAGGGTTCAGGGTTTAGGGTTCAGGTCCGGGGAAAGTTTCGAGGAGTTTCGGTCTTTGGACTTTTGAATGATTTCAAGGTACAGAAGCTTGACCCTAGAGTCTGACAACCTCTTCATCCACATGTTTGCGTGGTGCGTGTGCTGAGCGACCGACTGTTGGTGCGCAGCAGTCTGCAGACTCAGTGTATCCATGTGACCCCCAGGGCCCAGTAGTACCCGTATTCCCTTTTTTGGGGGGGTTTAGGTTCCCTTATAGACCCCTTTAAGCAAAAAAGGGCACCCTTTTTAAGCCTAGGTTGCTGGGCAGCCTAGGACCCTAAGGGCCCATGCACCTTACTATTATATACTTGGGCCCCAAAGTCCCTATATAGAAAGTACTTCATAAGGCCCAAGTATTCCCTAGTTAGGTACATGTACCCTTAGGGGTGAGTCTCTTTCTGCCCCCGGGTCAGGACTTTCATCTGGCGCCGCCCCCTTTGCTGGTCGCGGCTTCAGCACCTGGCTGCTGTGGGACTTGCAGCCAGTGTAATGGCTTTCGGTGCAGGGTTTGGGGTTTAGGGTTTAGGGTTTAGGGTTTAGGGTTTAGGGTTTAGGGTTTAGGGTTTAGGGTTTAGGGTTGAGGGGTTCTGCGCTTTAAACCCTTACTAAACCCTAAAATCAACCCCTTTGGACCGTGAACCTGGAAGTGGCTTCTACGACACAAAAGGTGAACCCCTCACGCTTTATGCCCCAACTCCAACATACCCGCTGCCCTCGAGGCCCGAGCCCTTATCTGTGCTATGGCCTCTGGGTTAAGGTTTCGGGTTTAGGGTTTCGGGTTTAGGGTTTAGGGTTTAGGGTTTAGGGTTTAGGCCCTCAGGGCCTCTGGGCGAGTATGCGCAAGATGCCATGAAAGTAGCTGCATACGACAGCTGTTCCTGGGTCTGTTCTTCAGCTTCCTTGGGGCTTCCATTGGGGTCTGAGACATCGGGTCGCGCTGCATCACCTCCTACACCTAAGCCCCTGACTGCCCTAGTAACCATAAGGCCTTACCACCGTGGTTTAGGGGTTTAGGGTTTAGGGTTTAGGGTTTAGGCTTTAGGGTTTAGGGTTTTTACCACGGTGGTTTAGGGGTTTCGGGTTTATAGTTCTACCTGTTTTGCTTGATGAAGATCCTGCACGGCGGGGCGGGGAGGGCGGGAAGATGAGGTTTCGTGGCTTGTCAACCCTGAAGCCCATACCCCAGACCCCACCTCTCATTTTGGAGTACCCAATCCCTAGGTTCATCTTCCCCTCCGCCCCCTGACAGTAAGCCCAAATCCTGACCTCAGTCGCTTGCCTCAGGCGATTAGGCAGAATGTCGTGGCCGGGAACGCTCAGGACGTCGGCAGGCGAGTGTTTTGGGCTTGGGGTTCGGAATCTGGCTCTGCAAACCCATGCCTTACAAATTGGCAGCTGATGTCCCATTAATTGCAGGGCATAGCCCGCAAAATGCTTCCAAGCACTAAGCTACAAACCCTAAACCTGGCACGGCGCCTGCATGGGCGTCTACTGCAGCACGCTGTGGGAAGGTACAGCGGTTGCCATCCTGGAAACAGGTGGAGCCCACCAGCAGCAGCAGCAGCAGCAGCAGCAGCAGCAGCAGCAGCAGCAGCAGCAGGTGGTGCTGTCCCCGAAGCAGCACCCCAACATCGTTCGCGCCCTGGCACCTGCCACGCTTGGGCACACACGACACACGATGTTGCTTTTTGAGACGATCCTGGAAGCTGCTGCGGCCAGCAGACTTACGGCCATAGTGTCACACATGTCTTTGTTGCGCTCCCTCCACCCAGTCCACTCAACCCACCCCAAGCATTCGCCAAAATCATCCAGCAAGTCGCGCAGAATACTCCGGCACAAAGCGCTACTGGAAGAATCATGGGTAGTTTCAGATAAAGTTCGAAGTGGGTCCTTGTAACTGTGCTTATACCTGGGTATAACCTTATTCCAGGGTCAAACCTCCCCAAGTTTCAACAGGCGACGTTGTAGTCATTGCAGATAGCTCGCGCAGCCGAAGCAGAGTCGAGAGAGGCTATACCACACCGCAGATCTAGGGTTGAAGGTTTAGCGTTTAGGGTTTAGGGTTTAGGGTTCAGGGTTTGGAGAAGCAATACCTCTGCCCGATGGCCGCACACAAGACCTTACCTATGAAAAGGCCTTGTGAAACCCTTTAATTTGCCCACTTTCAGGCCCTTGTACACCTTGGATTCGGATCCCTGATCCTCAGCCTTATCCCACATCATATCGCTAACCTCATATTAGAGTTCAGGGCTTCGGTTGGGGATTTAGGGAACGGTTTGGTGCTTCATGGTTTGGGAGATGTCAAGTTCATGTGGCACCTCTCATGGAAGATTGGTTAGAGGCATCGTACCTTCTGCTTGGGAGACCTCAATGGCTGTTCCCTTTTCCACGTCCCGAATGAGGCCCGAATGTTCTCATTACATGATACGAAACTAGGTACCACAACATTCTTTGGAGCTTCATTTAGGGTTCAGGGTTCAGGGTTCAGGGTCTAGGGTTTCGGGTTTAGGGTTTAGGGTTTAGGGTTCAAGTGCCCGAGCACACCATGGATCTTTCAATGGAGGTCATGTTCCTTGCTGTGTGAGTCGACGGGCAAGGTTTGCCACATCCCCAGCAAAGCGAGATGCGTCGAATTGGTGTGAAGGTTTTGGTTGATCCAGTTGTATTAAAGGAAGTCAGAGAGTTTGTGCCGGACTTCTGAGGATATTGCTTATGCGTTTGGGGTTTTTGCATGGATGTAATACGTACCGGTTCGATCGAATCCGATGTACCGCCGAGAAAACCTCGACAAGGCCTTGATAGTGTGTTAGGCAACGCTTCGATTCGATACTCCCATCCCTGAACCATCCAGCTCGAGGCGTTTCCAGCTTAGCCAGCTGGAAAGATGGGTCCGATATCGATAAAGTTTTGTGTTTGAAGCACCCATGAGTTTTAGGATTTTGTATGGGGTGGCGGTGCAACGTTTCTGAGTTTTGAGGTGTTCCTGGTCTTGGGCTTACTTGCAGGGTTGGCAGCTTCCTACGTAAGCCTAGTGGTTGTTCAGCAGATAGATGGCTTGTTCTGCACAGGTTTTTCTCTACCTGTGCGCACCTTTTTCTACTTCGTTCATTGCATGAGCAGCTCGTGGCTCGCCACTGCCAAGATCACGTGAACTTCCGACAAGCCCAAGCCCAGCTCCCACAGCCATCCCCTAAAGCAGCACCGAATGCACTCACGGACCTCCATCAGTGCTCCGGTGTAGGGTTTAGGGTTTAGGGTTTCGGGTTTAGGGTTTAGGGTTTAGGGTTTTTAGGGCTCTTGGGTTTGCTCTCCCTTACCCTCAAGATGGCCTCGCAGCGCTTGGCGTCCTGTGTGGGGCTACTCCTGTCGCTGGTAGGGTTTGTGGGAGGCCGGGCCTCAATCCCGTTCAGGGTTAGGGTTTCCGGTTTAAGATTCGGATCTAGGGTTTAGGGCTACGGGTTCAGGGTCTGAATGCAGTACGGCACCTCATGAAAAGGACCGCCCAGAAAAGGGACCCAAATGTAGAGAACTATACCCACTAACGCAAAGCCCTCTACAGTAGTAATTCCTAGAAGAGGTTTTGGGGTCCACAGGAGTCTGACATAGGTTTTCTTCCTGGCTTTGGCCCTTGTCACTCGTGGAAATGGCTTCCACAAACCCTAAACCCTAAACCCTAAACCCTAAACCCTAATCGCTCAGACTGAGGTTGCAAGCATTCACTGGGATGTGATCTGTGATCACTGCACAGGGATATCGGTTTCAATATCTTGGCGGGGCTGCTCCAAAGACGCACCTGAACAGAACCCAACCGAACGGACGGCATCACGCCTATCAGCTTGTTTGTACGGCAGTCCGTTGCTGCTAAGAGACCATCCTAAAAAGCATGACGCACATGATCACATGAATCACAGAATCCGTCTTACATGGTGTGTGCGTGCGGCGACCCGAATCATTTCGACCTTTTGCAAGGAAGCACGACGGCAGACTACTATGCAGTGTGCGATGCGGGAAGCACGGGCACCCGCCTGCCCCTCGCCCTTGGCCTGTTTCTCCCTGTGCGCGTGCTGTTCTGTATTCGACTTGGTGCAACGGCGGTTGTGTTGGAAACTTCAGCCCAGAAAGGCGTTAATTACAGAAACAAAAACCAAAATCGCTCCCTTCAGCCTCGAACTCAAAACGCCCGAGCAACACCACTTACAGAAAGGCCTACAAACCCTAAACCCGAAACTAAGTCCTACAGGGGCATCCCTCCCATAGGAACGCAGTTTAGCCTTCGCCAGCCCCACGCAGATAGAAGATCAGTCATGGGAACAATAGTCAGAACAAGAATTGTTAATTGGCTTTTTGAGTATGAGTACCATTGTCCATAGCCATGTCCGTGTTTGTATTGCTACCGATATTAGCAGCGGCATTCGTGATTGTGATCACATGCAAAGTCCTACATGAACATGGATGATTAGCAGCTGAAATACTGCTGGTTATTAACTAGGTATGAATCAGTAGCGGTACTGGTTGTCATATTCATATACGAACAGCTTTCCAAACCGCCTTTTTTCTTGAGGGCGTGCACACTTATCAAGGTTTGACATCCGATCTTTGGCCCAACATGGCGAAGAAGATTTTCGCCCTAAGCGCTTACTCCAAAGCACTCGCGAAATGCCGAACAGCCTAAAAGCCCCTAGTTCTTAGCAATCCCTTGCAGGGTTTTTTAGGGGATCTAGGGTGCCTCATGCCCTCAATCCCTACTAAGAGCCAGGAAAAGCACCCTAAACCCTAAACCCTAAACCCTAAACTAAACCCTAAACCGGATCCTGGCGCCGACTCGCCCAGGTACATCTTTCTGCTGGACGCCGAAGGTGGAAAGGCAAAGTCGGTGTTTGCATCTCGGCTGCGAGACTACCGGGGGTGGGGGGAGGCGGGCCTTTGGGTATGGGTTTCGGTTTAGGGTTTAGAGTTTTTGCTATGATTATGATGATTGTTATGATTGGTATGATCATGATTATATTGTTTTGTGATTATTGTTTTTTTATTTTTTTGGGGGGGGGGGGAGGGGGGGGGGGCTGAAATCATTTAAGGCTTAGGGGTACTGGGTTTTGGAGTTTGGCATATAGGGGCAAGGACGGGCAAGCTGCATAGTTTGTGCTGGAGTTGTTGGGGGTTTAGTCCGGCTAGTTAGTTGCAAAGGTGACGGAGCATGCTGCCCGAAAGCTCGCAACCTTCTCCGCTTGGGTTTTGGGGTTAGGGGTTAGGTTTTGGGATGTTCGCCCTTATTAGGGGTACTATAATCCCATTTCAGGACTGTTAGTATCAGGGGAAACACGCCAAGTGATGTTGCTTGTTATTGGGGATGTTGGGGTGGGGGTTTGGGGTGTAGGGCTATGTGTTTAGAGAGTTGGGGACGCAGGTAGCGGATCCCAGGCCCTTAGTCTTGGTCAGACAGTGCGGCTGGAAGTAGCTCTGAATATAGCATACTAGTTTAGTTCCAGTCTGTACCTATGATGTAAGCATTGAATGAGGAGGGCCTGAAGCCTTGAACCTCAGACCCTATAGACCCTAAGCCTCAGATCCTACATTGCAACTTCCCGGCTTTCTTGCCTCAACAAGTCTCCCAAACTGTGGAAGGGTTGAAGCCTTGAACCTTAAAACCCTATGGACCCTAAGCCCCAAAATGCAAAACCCCAGGCAGATTTTGGAACCCTAAACCCTAAACCTAAACCCTAAACCCTAAGAGGCCCTGTGGCCCCCGAGCCCTCCAAGCCTCCAAGGTGAAGAAGAGGAAGCCAGGGCTGTCATCGCCGCCTGGCGCGATTTGGGGGGGGGGGGGGGGGGGGGGGGGGTTGGTCGGGTTTAGGGTTTAGGGTTTAGGGTTTAGGGTTTAGGGTTTAGGGTTTAGGGTTTAGGGTTTAGGGTTTAGGGTTTAGGGTTTAGGGTTTACTGTAGGGTTTAGGGTTTAGGTTTTTTAGGGTTTAGGGCTTAGGGTTTAGGGCTTAGGGTTTAGGCTTTTTACGGTTTAGGGCTTAGGGTTTAGGATTCAGGGTTTTTTTGGGGGGGGAACGGGTGGTAGTGGTAGTGGTCGTGGTAGTGGTAGTGATAGTAGTTCAAGGTTTAGGGTGTGAAGGGTGTACGTAGGACTTCTCACTTCTCACGGTTAAGCATGAGAAGAAGGCCAGCAGAAGGTCTGAGGGTTTAGGATTGTTCGCTAGCAGCTTGTGTACGCAGACCCTGCAATCTTAAGTATCCTGAACCCAAAAACTCAAAACTTAAAAGCTTATCCTTTCCAAGCCCATGGCCAAAGCCCTTAAACTTCAAGTACCTACGCTTCAAGCCTTATAAACCCTGGGCCCTACCACACTACAGGAAACCCTCCCCTAAACCCTAAACCCTAAACCCTAAACCCTAAACCCTAAACCCTAAACCCTAAACCCTAAACCCTAAACCCTAAACCCTAAACCCTAAACCCTAAACCTCGACCCCCCAGCGTCGCTGAGGTATCGGGAGAATCCTGAGGAAGCCGTACCCCCTCTGCTCGCATTGCACTCTGGCGGCCTTGGGAGCCTTTGGGGCGGTCGTAGAGTTTCGGGAGGTGGATTCAGGGTGTGAAATATTTAGGGTTTAGGGTTTAGGGTTTAGGGTTCAGAGACAGTCAAGGGACCTGGGCCAGACTTGGTCGTACGGAATGCAGCCCTGAGGGCTTTTTAGAGCAGGGGTTCTGAGGTTTAGGGTATTCAAGTTGAGGTTCTTGGAGGCCCTGGCTTCCCCGAGTTGAGCAGGTGTCTCAGGGCCTTGTGTGGAAGTGCGACATCTTACCTTGCAAGTCCCGTCACGAATTCTTGTAAGCAGGGCTTAGGACTTCGGGTTAGGGGCTTAGGGCATAGTAAGAATGACCCTTCCTGTAGGTTGCAGTGGTCTGGAGACTGAGGGTGGGTAGGCTTTCCCAAGATGCAGCGTCCTGTGCGCCGTTTAGGGCACTTTAAACCAAAAAAGGATATGAGGCAGGCACTAAATTGCTGCTGTTGGTCAGTGTATATATGGTTCCGTATATGCTGCCAAGTGTACATATACTTGGTATCTTTTTACAGGAAACACTTAATCACAACCCTACGTCATGTACCCCCAAGCCCTAAAACACTGAGTCCTGCCCCATATTGCCTAGGACAGACCCCCAAAAGCACCCAAAGCTTAGCTTAACCCCCAGGCGAAGGTTTGAAACTAGGGTTGCCCATTTTCTCAATTTGTTTTCGAGCCCCTGTTGCAGAAGACATTGAACACCAGTTCAGAACAACCCCATGTAGGTTCTAGCGCTCAGGGTTTCGGATTCAGAAAGTCTTTCTGCAGGCTGAAAGAGGGAGCCGCGAAGATTCCCGAAGAGCGGCGAGGGAAGGTGCCGCTCCTGATCTACGGCACTGCGGGGATGAGGCGCCCCTGGCCAGACGGCGAATTTTTTCACGTTGGAGCCCACTGGTAGCCCGTCGCCTTCTTTTGTTGTTTTCTGGGTTCCCGTCTACAAGTAGCCGACCCCAAAGTTGTACCCTTTGTTGCAATATGGTTACAACACGGTTGCGTGGGCGGCCAGGTGAATCAGCTCTTCGCTAAAATTCGTT